TCTATCCCGGATTGGATCTCGCCATATTCGCCTTCGACTTGGATTGGATTGGATCTTGCCATATTCATCTCCATTTTACCTCCGATTTGCATCTCAGATCTTTATCTCTATCTCGGATTGGATCTCGCCATATCCGCCTTCGACTTGGATTGGATTGGATCTCGCCATATCCATCTCCATTTTACCTCCGATTTGCATCTCGGATCTTTATCTCTCTCCCGGATTGGATCTCGCCATATCCGCCTTCGACTTGGATTGGATTGGATCTCACCATATCCGCCTTCGACTTGGATTGGATTGGATCTCGCCATATCCATCTCCATTTTACCTCTGATTTGCATCTCGGATCTTTATCTCTCTCCCTGATTGGATCTCGTCATATCCGTCTTTCGTTTAATTAACCATTTATATCCCGGAGGGCCAGTCTTTATTTAATAAACCATTTATATCCCGGAGGGCCGGTCTTTATCTCGGATTTAAGTGCCATCATGTTGTAAGGATTGCAATCCGTCTTTATATTTATATTTCAGATTGGGGTGTGATCTTTTTGCCAAAATCTCATCTCTCCAATCCAGTCTTTATTCTTTATCTCGGATCCCGATGCTGTGATCGGAATGCTTTTGATCTTTGAATTTAGTGTCAAAAGCTTTTGGAACTCAGCTGCATGGCCAATTCGCTTATTTATTGGGGGTCATGGCCTTATTGCTGTTTCTTTCTTTCCTACTTCAACTTTTATCTCGATTGGATCACTCCACATCTGTCTTCAGCTTTTATGGCTCCATTTAATAAACCATTTATATCCCGGAGGGCCGGTTATCATTCTGGCTTGGCTTCTTTTGTTGAAGCCTTATATTTAAGGAGACGCATTTTACCTTTTTGAATTGCATTTCTTCTTCTTCTTGCATGGCTTTTTAATTTGGGCCCCACTTCTTTGCGGTGCCATTTTATCTGAACCCAGCTTCATTTGCCGTGGTCTTTTCATTTTCTCAAGCCGGCTTCTTGTGCCTCGGCTCTTCTTTCAGCTTGGCTTCTTTAGCCCAAGTCTTGCATTCATCTAGGTGGATTTCCTTCTTTATTTGAGTGGATCTGGATCTCCTTCCTTTTTTTTAGAGGGGATCTCTACACCACCTATTTGATTATTCTTTGCAAAAATAAATGCAACATAGTAAAGCATGAAGTAGGCTATTAGCAATAATTTTGCTTCAATCAGTAATTATCTGTGTAATCAGATAATAATTGTAATCAACAATTAATAGTTGATCAGCATCAATCAATAATTAATATTAGTTGACCGTATTTCATATTATCAGATTTGATTGAGCATCTATCATAAAGCCACGTGTGTGTGTGTGTATATATATATATATATATATATATATTAAAGGTTGTATTAAATACATTATGCCAATCAAGACAAATATTTGATTTGTCCACAAATTATTCCCAAAGCATTCAATTTAATCAGGTTTTAATCAAAGGCTGTATTAAATACATTATGCCGATCAAGACAAATCTTTGATTTATCCACAGATTACTCCCAAAGCATTCAATTTAATCAGGTTTTAATCAAAGGCTATATTAAATACATTATGTCAATCAAGACAAATCTTTGATCAATTTTATCAGTGAAAGTTGGAAATGGCCTTGAAGGCCGATGCATGCTGGAGGGAAAAACAAAACTTTTTCATTGCGGAACACACATGCATTCAAGATCATGCTTTAGGAAAGCATGATGTTACCTTGTTCGTGAAAACTCGTGATGATCAAGGTAGGTCTGAAGGGTTCAGACCCTCTAACGTTGATCCACATCACCCACTGCGTCTAGGTGCAAGAACTCCTTCTTGTGAAACCGCCAAGTGATCACTACAATGAGGCTTGCTAAGCGCACACTGTGTGAAGAGAAAGGCTAGGTAAAAGTGTTTGAAAGAGTGAAGCTTTCAATGTGAAAACTTCACAAAAGTGGCGCAGGAGAGGAGAAGAGAATGGCTTGGTTGGTTTTCTAAGAACCCTAGAAGGAACATATATAGCACAAGAGGAGCCTATTTGTTAAAAACAAATCAGATTTTTAATCAATAAAAATCCCTTCCAAAAGGGCGCTCCATCAAAGAGAGAGATAATAGGATTTGTTGCAAAGCAAATCTCATCAAATCTTGCCAACAACATCCTATAATATCTTTATGATATATTAGGTTCAAAACCTAATCAAATATCTAATCATAAATCATCATATAATCAGTTATATGGTGCGCCCCATATAGCCTAAATAATGACCAGATACATTTGAGTAGTTGCATTCAAACTTGAATCAAATCACTCAAATATTCTCCCAACAGTCAAATCAGCACCCCAAATCTTCTTAGATTATGTCCAAAAGATTTTCTCTTGATATGTTCCAACAAGATCTCATATTATCCTTTTGTTATGAAACAACTTTTCATAGCCAATTCAAATTCGAATTTCAAACATTTGAATTCAAACTTTCAAACACTTAAATTTCAAATTCAAATTCTAAATTCAAATTCAAATTTCAAATTTCAAATTTCAAATTTCAATTCAAAATTCAAAATTTAAACATTTGATAATTAATTTAACTAATTAAATTAATTAGTAATATCTTGGACTATCCAAGCCTATTACTTAGATCCATGCGCCCTCCACCCTATCTGTGGAGTTCCAAACTACTTCTTGGGCTAATAACAATTGTTAGGCCCAATACCATTAATGCTAGAGCATCTAGACAATTAGGTGTTAGTGTGTGACCCATTAGGTCCAACATAGCCACTGACATAAATGGGCTTGGGCCCAATAAGCCCACAACTCATCTAATGACAACACAGAGCACTAGCAATGCTTTGTTGCTCCAGAACTAGTTAGATTAGTGACTTGATCATCCTATTGCACATATTTGGTTGCCGTATATATTTCCTTCCGTCTCGGTTACCTTCCCATAAAACCTAGGGTAAGGAAGCGTATCAACCCCTGCGGTTTAGGGTAAGCTTTATTCGAAATAGGAAATCTTCAATTTACAGACTCTAAAGGCAGATCATCTCATTATCTCTTTTACTATGCATAGATTCCCGAGTCCCTGTAAATGTCATCCTGATTTCTCCGGTTTACAGATAACTTAATCTCTCACAGAGATTTGACGAATTCATTCAGCTTATCACCCTAGCCCTGTGTTCTTTCAAGACAAGCCCAAAAGTATACCTATGAGTCTCCATGTTTCAGGCAGACGAGGTGCACAATCAAAGCATGCATTCTAGAACACGCATGCATTCTAGAACACAGTCTAGGTAATAACTTCTGGTCTTAGGAAAGACATACCCAAATATAAAGAGACTACTCTAATGATACTCTCTGTGAGAGTTCCTCATAGAGTCTCTTTGTGGGTCTGTTCAGTGCGAGCTATACCCTTATAGGTCCCCCCACGACTTTAGCTAAGACATCTCCATATCTGTAGCACATGAGGTCTATACCTTGTATCCATATACAAGTAGATAAGTCATGCTAGTCTTACCCGAGATTACTGACCCCATTCTCAGTATCTCTAGACTAGGAACATAAAATTAGGAATAAACATCCGGTATTCTTGAATCCTCATGATTGTGATCTCATCACAGATACTCGAGAGATACCTATTTTATTCCACGGGGTTTATCAAGTTATTCATAATATATTAACATTAATATCGAGACAGAATTACGAAACAAGATAAAGAGTGCTTTTATTTATTTGCGACAATATTAAAAAGGTCTACATCTATGTCCTTATTTAATCATAAGATTGTCTCTAGGACACCCAAATACTAACAATCAGATATCGATATAAAATATTAAAAAGGTGAATCCTTTTATCAGATATCGATATGAAATATTAAAAAGGTGGATCCTTTTTTTCCCCTTTTCATGTAAATTTAGAATTTAAAAGGAAGGAGACTTAGCTTTTTCTCTTTGCTTGATTTGCCCCTTTCTTTTTAACCTCGATCTCGGCCACAATCTCGCCTGGATCTCAGCCACGATTCTGATGACAGCGGTGGTCACGACCTTGATCTTTTACGCCTATACCACATTTGGGTGGGAATCGAAGTTTATCGTTTCCCACAGACGGCGCCAATGTTACGATATGATAAATCGATATGTCCAATCATAGATTGGTATGTTAATATAGGATCTGTTTACCCTCCCTCAGGTACTATAGGAGAGGTACCCTAAAGATAAGCGAATCACTGTGTACAATAATATAACGACATAGTCAAGGCGTGTGGTGTGTGCACAGTGATAAGCTAAGAGAGAGGGTTAAAAGAGTGTGTACCTTATTGGTTTAACCCCTTATTTATAGATGGGTTACCTGGCAGAAGTGGACTTTTGGGCCTCTCAGGAGCATTGGGGGTCCAATTGTTGATCCATTGCTGCCGTAGTAGGATTAGCATAATTAAGGAATGCTTCCTTAATTCCCTCTTAGCTGTTAGCCCTATTTGGGTCTTCTAGAATATAGGTCTTTGTCAGGTCCATAACACTTTGGAAGCCTTTGTCGGGTGCATGATGCTTTCCCATTTTGCCTAGGGTCTTTTTTATTTTTTTGTGGTTGAGTCTCATCGTGTTTACGTAAAGTGAGCTCATTTTAAAAGAATTTTACCCCTTAAATTGAAATGAAAAACATGCTTGGTATGATTTATTTATTTTTTAATTTAAAAATTACTTTAAAACTAAAGTTAAAAAAAAAATAAACTAAAATTATTGGGTTTTTAAGTTATAAATCGTTTAGCCTAAAAATAGTTTTAACAAACGCTTAGTCCAAAAAAAGTCGTCAATTAGAATTTACGTGAATAAATATTTCAAATTGAACCAATGAGAATAGTTCTGCTACACTAAACAACCCCTTGTGTCTGAAGTAAAGTGATTATTATAGTAATCCATTAATATAGCCTACTCTTTTAGTGCATTTACCGAAACTAATGAAAACACACAAAATTATACACAGCTACTATATTTAAAACCATGTAGCATTGTGCTTAACTACATTCCCCATTTACAACACATTCTTTGACGAAACTATGGAAGCCTTCACGTACACACAATGATATGGCGCAGATCAATATGCCAGTATATTATCATGGACAGTTGAATGATACAAGACTGTTGAAAAAGTAAACCCCTCATGACAGACAGTATATAACAAAGCCTAAATTTTCTGATGCTTAACTGAACCTTTTTATAATTGCAGAAATAGTATTTAGACACAAATCCCCACATAAAATTCTCCCCATCCACCCAATGGAGAAAACCATTTCTGCAAATTTGAGTATATCCCAAAACACCATACATAAATAAAATCCCCCTCTATAAGCATCTCTCTATCCTCTAAAGAAATTTCTCTAACTTCTTTGATGTGATCGGATGCGGTGGCCGGAAAGTCTCCAATAGCAAGCCGGAGCTTGCGCAGATCTCAATGAAAACAGCATCACCCTTATCCATTTTGATTACCTCCAAGGTGCTTCCAAGAACATCAGCTGCAAGTCCAACTTGTAAGAGCTTGCCAGGTTCCTCTCCACCATCATATATCAACCGCCCAATCTCTTTCAAAGAGACTACATGCTCTGTTATCGCTTTGGCAAAAATACGGCCAAGAAATTCTGCTGCTTTGGGGGCATAATCCGCATCTTCCAAAGTGCTGAGAACAGATTCAAACCTAGCCAAGAATAAAAAAAAGGAATTAATAACAAACAAAAAAAAAGGCACCCTTGTGATACTAAGCTCCTGCTAGGCGTGCAAGGTGCAATGAAAGATCAGACTCATTGTGTGAGTCTACAATAGACAGTGTTAAATTGTATTTGCAAGAGGCTGATTACATGAATCAAAACCTCTGTGACCTCCAAGTCACATGACAACTACAGTGCCCGTTGTGCCAAGGAATGAATAACAATTTTAATTTAATTTATTTTTCACAAGTAGATTATTCTCACAACTAGTCATCATACTATAAAATAAAACTCACCCTTCGATGAGATGGGCTGAACTCAAGGTGCCATCGTGAGACTTCACAAGGTTGACTAGCAGTTGGGCCAAAAGATCTCTCTCTGTCTCCTTTCTCTCAAACGAGTCTGTGACCCAGAGAGAAACCATGGAAGGATGGAAGCTTGGAGAGTTCAAATCTTTGACACATAAAACAACTTCGTTCACATCTCTAGCACTAAATTGCATAACTTAAAAGAGTCAGATGATGTGACAAAACAAAATAACTGCAAAATAGATCAACGCTGTAACACTACATAGCAAGTTTAGTTTGATTCATGTGACAATATTTAAAAGCTTAACATTGAATCTTTATCATGAAACATTTCTAACATGTACAGGAAGCTGCACCAAAAAAACAATTTAAATTTATTATAGGTGTAGCAAAAAAGCACATTTTAATCCTTTAAGGGAAAGAAAAATAAAAGTAGGGAGAAACTCAATTAACCCCAATGGTTTGGCCTTTTTACTTTGAACCATGTGGATAAAAAGTAATGAAGTAACGGATGTTAATCTCTTCGCATGCATTTTTTTCCAAAAGCATGGGGTTGCAAAGTGAAAATCAGGCAAACAGAAGGGTAATAATCGGAACATTTCTCTAAAAAAATTAACAGAACCTAGTAAAACACATATTGCAACCATAAAAAAATATGTAAGAATTAAACAAACATCTCACCTAAATGCTTAAGTTGTTAAGTGGAGACCGTTTTAATGGTTTTATATTAGACTTCTCTAATACATCCCCTCACACAAAAGCCCATTGGGCTTGAAGAGTAGATAATGCACAGGCCCAACCACTCATGCCAAGAAATTTTACAATTAAATATTTATTAGAAGAATGGGGGTGGTGAAGATCGAAGTTGTGACCATTTGGTCACTAGCTCTGATACTATGTTAAACAATCATCTCGCGTAAAAGCTCTAGGTATTAAGTGAAGGCCATTTTAGTGGTTTAATATTAGACTTCTCTAACATTAAGGAATCACATCACAACCATAAAAAGCCAGGATCCATAATTAAAAAAATTCATAGGCTATATCAAAATGCAAATAAATTCCTAAACATAGAAAAATGGGAGTTAAACATTTTCATGTTGTTAAGAGTAAAGAGTGATAGAAGCTCCAAAAGCAACATGCCTCAACACCCCCACAGGCCTCGTGAAGGTCCAAACAAAAAGGCACTAATTACAGAGGAAAGGCAACTTGAGGAATTTGACTCCACGGTAGAAAAGAAAGGGCTAAATCAACTAAGACAGTATAAGACGTTACAATGAGAAGAAATAACGCGAAAATAAGACAACACAACAAACATTTAACACATATAAAGAATCTCAACTTTGGACAGATCTATTTTTTTCAGGTATCATACCCATTTTAACAACCAATTCCCTTCTTAACAAGTATCAGATATGCAATCTACTAGAAAATAAGACACATCTCACAACGCATAATCACACTGCTGAGCATACCATGACAAGCCATTACATATTAGAAGACAAAAAATAGCATATCATTCACTAACTGCTATTACAGTTAATTATTAGATTGATAAATGATGTTTATAAAATCATTCTCACATTGACATATGTGGCCCACTGAACCTGGTACAACTTGAAAGCAAATACAAAAGTTATGAACCTCAGATCTCAGCTACAAGATCCACTAACATAACTGTCTTCAATAATATACTGATACGATACCAAACTTATGGTTGAATTCTAGAAGTGTATACAGGGGATCAATACATGCTGAGTCATCAAATCAGTTATGGGAGAATATTCCCGAATTTGTGAGAGTGGGAATTGGTTAGTAACTGTGGCAAGTTTGTTACTGCTGAGCTATTAGAATAAATGGGTGATAGTAGGAGGATGGAAGTATCTTTGGGGCATTTGGGAACCTTGGGCACCTTAGGGTAATTTCGGAGAGACTCGGGGCTCTAGAATTCCTCTAAAATTATCCTTTTCTGTTATTTCCTTTTCTGTTAGTACATTTCTAGTTCATTGTAATTTTCTCTATTTCACTATTTCCGGATTGTACTTATCTCTTGATGAATATATGAAAATCTGATTATTCAGGCCAAAGTCTTTATTCTGTGTTATTTATGTATTTGATTTGAGTAGAAGGTCCTTATCAATTGGTATCAGAGCTATCCAATTCGGGTAGCTTTGAAGGATACCAATAAAAAAAATAAAAAAAATGGAAAATCAATTTCATAGGATGACGATCCCTGTATTTTCTGGTGAAGATGTATATGAATGGTTAAATTGGATAGAGTGGTATTTTCGAAAGAATGGTAAACCGGAAGTTGCGTGGCTATCATAAGTGAGAAAAGCCTTGCGGGGAGAAGCTTGGGACTGGTTTTTTTGGTGGAAGCTTCGGACGAAGGAATTTACATGGTCGCAGTTTCGAGTGGATGTGATTCAACAATTTTTGTCGTTCACGGAGAATTTACTGGTAAAGGACACGCGACCATTGCCAAATACAAAAATTCAGAGCCAGAAACACTCTGTGCTAGAGAAACAGGCGGCTGACAAGTTGATGACTGTCGAAAACCAAAAAAATAGAGAAAACAAAGGGAAAATAATAGAAATAGAAGAGAAGCAGCCCCACGATGGTGCTTTGGAGAAGCACGAGAAAGTAGGTGAAGAGGTTACGAACAAAGTTTTGCATGTGCAGCTACCGGCGACAACACTGCCACCAACGGTAGTTGTCAACCTTCCACCATTGCCTGAACCGCCAAATGTGAATCTTCAAGGGGAAGGGGGGGAGTACTTACTGCACCGCTACAGTCATTGAACTCCACAATACACGTGAGAGGATGAAAAACAAGCAAATTAGGTTAGAGGAGGTGTTGCACAATTTGGGCCAAGTTGCTGACCCGATGAATCAAGCCCAATTGAATATTAAAACACCTTTAACCCAATCCAATGATATTAGCGTTTTATATGGTTGGGGTTTTCAGCTTGATAGGGCAGGTTTGTCACTAGAAACAAAGAAAACGACACTTGCTAAGCATAAAGGAGTAGAAGAACTATGGAAGCAACGATTTGAACCACCACCAGAAGAGGAGAAACCTAAAGGAGAGCCACATGCAAAAGGAATTGCAGAAACTCCGACACCACCCGATGCCAAAAAATCATTTAAATCCAAGCTTAAAGCAGAATCAGGTGGGATCAGAAAGGATGTCAGTTTAAGGAGGGACGGGAACAAATGTTAGAATTCTAGAAGTGTTTTGGGAGGGAGTATTGATACGATACCAAACTTATGGTTGAACTCTAGAAGTGTATACAGGGGATCGATACATGCTGAGTCCATACTTGTGAATAGCCCCGCTTTAGCGCGCTATAGCGGTGTAGCATTGCGGTGCAACAGCCGCCCGCCCCATATTAGGCGAAGTGTAGCGGATGTAGCAGCCACTATTGCGGCTGAATTGCGGAGCAAAAGTGTTCTCGTCGTAGAAGGAAGAGATTTACAACTTAGATACAAGTGAAAGTGAAGATGAAGATTTGGATGCTCATGATTTCAATTATGATTAGTTCCAGTTCTTTGATTTTGACATTTCACTTAAGTGGCAGTTTGAATTTTGACTAATTTTGCCACTTTTTTGTTACATTATTTGAGACTTTAATTCCTTCAATTTGCTTATGATTTGAATTTTAATGTTTGGAATCATTTATGTTTGAGTTTGAGATCCTTCAAATTTGTTTTTTATGTCACATTTTCATATTTTAAGTTTTATATTTGTGGAGTACAATTTAGTGTATCACTTAGGTAGACTTTGCACAATAGCGTTGTAGCGCTATCCGCTATAGCGATATAGCAGTTTGGAGGGTCAGCTGCTACGCGCCGCTATCCGAGATTAATAAGTATGGCTGAGTCATCAAATCAGTTATGGGAGAATATTCCCAAATTTGTGAGAGTGGGAATTGGTTAGTAACCGTGGCAAGTTTGTTATTGCTGAGCTATTAGAATAAATACGAGATAGTAGGAGGATGGAAGTATCTTTGGGGCATTTTGGAACCTTGGGCACCTTAGGGTGATTTGGGAGAGACTAGGGGCTCTAGAATTATCCTTTACTGTTATTTCCTTTTCTGTTAGTATATCTCCAGTTCATTGTAATTTTCTCCTTTCTTTGCAATTGTCTCTATTTCACTGTTTCCGGATTGTACTTATCTCTTCATGAATATATGAAAATCTGATTATTCAGGCCAATGTCTTTATTCTTTGTGTTATTTCTGTATTTGAGTATAAGGTACTTATAATATACCTATAAAGGACATCTTATCCTCCCATTTATTTCTCCTTTCAAAATACAAGCTTTCCCCATCCATATCAGGCCCTCTTTCTCTCAACATGAAAACAAAACATTACTTACAATATTAAGTTCAAAGGTTAATTTATACACAACCCATGCATAAAATGTATAAAGTATCAAATCATACACTTATTATTGTAAATTTATATAGCTATTAAAAATGGCTGTATTAGTATACATCACATGCATACTAAACACATATTTCCTTCACATTTACTAACACTAGAACTTATGGTTTAATTTTTCGACACTAGTCTGTATTTTAACTCAAGCACGTCATTTTCATTGTTTATTAATAATATAAAATTCAAAATTTTAACCCTTTCAAGACAAGTATTATGATATGCTTTGAAAGCCATACATACACAGAAATAAAACAATACAAGACACAAAATATGATATAAACCAAAAAAAATAAATCTTTTACCTCATGGGCAATGTTGTTAAAATCGATATCTTAAATAAAATCGGAAGGAGATTAAAAAATCGTAAAACGTAAAATCGTAATGTAAAAAAATCGTAAAAAATCATAGAAACGTAAAAGCGTTTGAAATATTAGTAAAATCATTTTGATGAAAAAAAATCGTAAAATCGTAGTGATAAATCGAGATTTTAACAACAATGCTCGTGGGAACAATCTGTCTTATTAATAATTATTTTTCCAATAAAGAATTTGGACAGGTTCAGCATGCTGAGGATTATACTTTTTAAAATATGATAAATACTAAACTATAAATCATGCTTCTCAAACAAGCTGAAATAAAGGGGATAGAAACACCGTGAAGGGAAAGCAGTACCTATAGTATTCTCTGATTGCTGCCATGGACATGTCCTGCAGTCGCTCTTCTGGCCAACCCTTCTCTGAAGAAGGGTTCCGGGAGACTGCTGTCCCTTGCACTCGAGCAGTAGGTGAAGTTACAACAGGTTTATCAAGAATCCTATCTGCATGCCTCAATTCCCTGCTACCATAATTCATGTTACGCTCTTGAGCACTTGATTGATCATAAGCAGTTGGACCAGCAAATCTATCCGGAGCATATCTTGATGCAAGGTCATCCCTAAAGCTGTATGGAGTGCGCTCTGATAAATTATTATAACCATTAAGACCAGTTGAACTTGAAACTGCAGGTGGACCTCTAATGGACATTCCTCTAGCAAGACCACCCTGGGGTCCCAATGTTATTGAATCATCACCTAAAGGCCTTTGAGGCAAGGGAACTGACAATGTCCTAGGCTCATAAGATTGCCTTTCATCCATGCGAGCATCCTGAGAACCATACCCACGAACTTGAGTAGGCAACCCACGAAGTCCACCCATCTGAGAATTAGGAGAAGATAACATAGATGACCCTCTTGGACCAAAATCCATAGGGATCCTTCTTGCTGGATTGTTGCCTGGACCACGACCCAGCCTACTAGCTTGGGCCTGCCTCTCTTGGGAAGCATCTCTGTGCACCTCTTCAATCTTCTTTGGACCTTCAACTTTTCTCCTTTGTTGCCATTTATTCTTTCTCAAATCAATGGCATCCTTCAACATGAACCTCACCCTAGAAGATAAATTCATGTTGTTTGATAATAATCTCATCCTTTCAAAATATACATCCATGTGTTCCTTGGCTTTGGGATGGTCAATCATCTCCCCAATGGTACTCATCAGCTTGCACAAAGCTTCAATATCTTCTTCATCAGGATCCTGATGCTGCCCCAATAACTTCTTGATGCATTCATGCATTATTCTCTCTGTCAACATTCTCTTCTTATAAAGTTCTCCAATCAATCTGATATTACCCAACATGCGTCTTCTAGCCTTGGTTCGTTTCTGTTCTCTTTGCTCATCAGACTGCTTGACCTCACCCTCATCAGCCTTATTAGCTTCTTCTTGCTCTCTTTCACCCCTCTCAAATTCTTCCTGGCACTTGTTTAATAATAATCTTTTAAAAGTTATCTTTTCATTGTCTTGACTGAGATCAGGCAGCTCATCTGCCAGATGTAAACAGAAATCGGCATACATTTCACAGAAGGTGGGCTCCATCAAGGCTTTCTCGAATATTTGTGATATGACACCAGTGAGAGTGACTGCATTGTCAATATTAACTGCTTTTACCTGTTCAAAAAGCTTCTCAAAATTCTGAGGAGTTAACTTGTTCAAAATAGCTTTTAACTGCCTCTGCTTAGCCTGTTCCTCATCTGTCACTTTACCCACCTCATACTTCTTCTCAGCTTTGTGCATCATCTGTAAAGGAGTTTGAGGAGATGGAATTAAACCCCTGTGCTGGAAGCTTGGAGAACGCAACCACCTTTCACCATCAAGGCTACTTCTTTGCATTCCTCCCTGATTTACCATGGATTGCATTGGCCCAGAAAGAATCCCCCCAGCATACTGCAGAGGTGTTTGCATGCGTGGATTTCTTAGAACACCAAAATTGCCTCCTTGGGCCGGTCGAAATCCTGCATTACCTCCAATACTATCCATGCGCATACTGGAATTATAAGCACCAGCAGCTTTACTCCATTTGTCTTCCTCGATAACACCACTCCCACGACGATCCATCCGAAGCATCCCACCCGGCCTATCTATAATTCTTCCAGTAGAAGGATGTGAATCATGTTCAACAACATGAGGACTCATCAAAGCCTCAGCAACATCTGCCGTGATTTCAAACCCTTCAGGAAGATCAGTACATTGCTCTGCAAATTTCAAAAGGAAATCTCGGGAGTACTTTTTGGCAGTAACTTCACTTCCATCACTAGCTGGTTGACTTTTATCCGAAACTTCTAGTTTTGGTGTAGACATGTCAGCAGCATCCTCCCAGTCATCAAGTTCAGCTTTACTCTGCCCACATTGCTCAGTTGCTAAAACATCTGGCTGAGCAGCATCCGTAGGCAACTGCTCCAGATTTCCAGAAGTAGAAGCACTTTCTGTTTTCTCTGAAATTACAACAGCTTCTTTCTTTTCGCCAGGTCCCTTATATGCATTATAAAGATCAGATGTTGACCCAGAAGCATCTGCTTTCTGAAGAATCTCTTTTAGTTTCTTTTTCCCCTTTGATGTAGTTTTCACCTTACTTGGCTCTATTGGTCTGTCCTTGGTACCTGACGCTGGAAGAAACACTGAGCCACTAGCAGCATTCTCTGAACTATCCTGGCAATGTTTTAAAGTTGTTTCTGGAAGATCAACAGACTGCTGATCTGATGGGCCAGAATTTGTAGAAACAGCTTCATTACTAACTACATCATTTCTATTTAAAGAGAAATTTCCAGATTCCAATGCAGACATGCCTAAATTACCGGCCATCCTGTCACATTCTGCACTACAACTTGTAGATTCATCCGGTCCTCGCTGTACAGTCCTCAAGGTTACAGCCTCAGTGCTTAAATTTGCAGCGCCTTGCTTAGGTTGTTTGAAGTCTGTTCCACCATCACTAATATTTTGTTTACATCCTTGAAGAGATGAAATTTCAGTTTTACCATCAATTTCCAAAATATTCTGCTTTAACAGTTTATCCTGTTGTGATAATTCATATAGCTCATCATTCTTATGATTGTTCAAACTATCCACAGCTTGAGTAATTCCTTCAGCTGAAGCACAAGCAGAAACTTGTGTAGAACCATTGGTCTTCACTTCAGAAGCACAAGGTATGCTCCCATTGGTAGTTGATAATGTGACTGAAGCTGCTGCTGAGAGATCTTCACTGGTGATTGCTACAGAATAGTTTGTCTTAGTTCCTACAGTTTCAGAAATTCCACTATCAGAGACACCACCATCAACAGCTTGGGAAGGCACATTAGCCACAGCAGGAGATTGTGCAGTAACCTGCGAGAAAAAAATAATAATGATCATTCACAATACTTGAAGCAAACCAAGATCAAATTAGTAAAAAAGATAACTGAACAACAAAACACTTAGATACCTGATGCTGTGACTGGCCTTTCTTCTGTAGTTTCTTCTGATTATCCTTCGAAGAATTTGACCTACTAAGAGATTCCTTCTTTCTGCCTTCGTTATCAGACATAACTGAAACAGAATCCTCACTCACAGCAGATGTAGAAGGCAACAAGGAAATTGACATAAGCTTCTCACCAGATGCGACAGATACTTTTGGCAATGAGCTCAAAACTGAAGGATCACTGGACAACTTAGAGTGTTGTGTAGAGATTTCAGAACAAGTTTCAGACCCTTTTGTTGGCACTGAAGAGCTAGTATCACCAGATGCTACTGCAAAAGTAGGAGATTCACTCTTTTGAGCACCAGAAATACTGGAATTCACAAATGATGAGTCCACAATACCAGACCCACCATTTGGCTTAATAGACACAGAAGTTACCGCTGATGGAGCTGATGAGAATGCATGATATGTATTGCGGGAAAATTCCGGATGAGGCTGTTCAAGAATAGGAGTGCTAGCTTTATTAACAGGCAGGGAACTGTGAGACGATGAATTAATGAAACCAACATTTTGCGGACCATGGCTCATTGCATAATTAAATCTAGGCGGCTGAGAGTTGGGAGTTATCTGGCTACTTGTTAATGGAAGAGAGCTAGGAGTTGGATAAAAGACTGAACTGGTACTGGAGGAACTTGATGGATAGTACTTAATAGCATGAGAAGCTGCATATGTCTGGACAGGCTGAGATTGAGAAGGCACGCCAGAATCTGCCCTTTTATCAAGTCTAAGCTCTTCATGCGTATCAGGATGAGTTATCTTGACAGGAGTAGTTTTACGAGGAACAGCAAATTTTCCTCCTTGCTGCGGGGGATATTGTGGGTTGATGCCAATACCCATGTTGCCTAACTGATGGGGCAATTGAGGAGCCATTTGAGGAGTGAAACCCATGTTTTGGCCTTGATGCATGATTCCTTGAGGATGCATAGGATGAGGTTGAAGATTTGGAACATAAACCTGATGTGGCACTTGTGCAGCATTTCCAATTGATAAAGGCACCTGAAGAGATGCCATTGACATTCCTTGTGATTGAATCTGTGGATTAGGACCACCAAAGTGTACAGATGTCTGTGACTGGTGATATGGCATTGCCATTGAAATTCCAGTTAGAGGAATAACAGAAGGCTTCTGCATCTGGCTTGCTGGGGGTAAAGTGGATGCCTGAGTATCCTTTTTTGCCCTAGACCCTGTATGAGTCTCCCCAGGGTTAGATTGATCAGCGGCACCTGTATCCTTCCTCACTGGCTGCTGCTTTGGAGCAGGACGTATTGGCACTGGCTGCTGCTTTGGAACAGGAGCTGTTGGCACCGAAGGCACGGGTCTAAAAGAATCATGACGAGCCTGAAAGTTATGAAATTAGACGCCAAACAGTTACTTGCATTTGCATGAAAACTGTTGAATAACAAGGAATCAATAGGCAAACATTTAAATGCCTGTGTATCAATAACACGGGAGACTCTACTATATGCAGCAACTAAAACAATTACATAAGACTAATATAATGATGTGGGACTTCTTATCAACCTATTTTCAATACTTCTAACACTCCCCCTCAACAAGTAAAGAAGACTGCATCAACCTCAACTAGACTGAGTAGAAAAACATAGACGCACTCCTTTGTCAGATTCTATTTCTGAAAAAGCATTCCTAATGAACTTTCTAAGACATAAGAGGATTCAGAATCAATGGTCACGAATTAGATAATTTTTCCTTCATAAGGATAGGCAAAGGCATAAAATCTATAGTGCTGTACAAATAGCAACGATGATGGAAGGAAAAAAGGATAAACTTCATACCTGATCACGCTTCTGCTCATCTAAATTAGGAGGAGCAGAGCTTGTGCGAGCAGGAATCTGCATATAATTACAGAATGTGATCAACTCCACCTTGAATTCCAAGCATTATATAATACAAAACTTCGGGTGTACAATAAACAACTAGCAGATAAGATACTTACTGCCATCCCATTCATAAAGCCAGGACTAATAGATCCAAATTGGAAAGGGAACGTCTTGGATGCATCTCCTGGGGCTGACAACAACGTTTAGATCACTCTCACAAGTCATAAGCAATATGTAAGAAAAATAAAATATTTTGCAACATGTCACTTTACCATGAACCGAAATTACAATTCAAAAGTCATCAAACCTATTTTACATCTTATGTACTACATAAAAAACCTACAAGAGTAACATACCCTTAGCAGGGGTTGTAGGAGCTGCTGGATCAGAACTCACGGCAGGAGGTTGAGAAGTAGGAGCTTTTGGAACAATTCTGGTGCTCCTCTGTGCAGCTGATGATTCAGAAGGTTTGGCAATTGCATTTGTAACCGGTGCATCGGATCCTCCTATCATACAACACATATGAATGGATTCTATAAATGATAATCACATTTTACCAAACACTCAATTGCATCTACAAAACTCGCAGGTCATTGTAAAGCGGAATGCAAATAATTCCACAGAATAAACATAAACACACTCAAAAACCAATTTAGTGAAGAACCAACTGTTTAAAAAAAAAAAAAAGATCTTACTCAAACTTACCATGAAATTGAGGCTGTACATGTGAACCATTCGGTATTGTCCGGGCTGCAGAAGCACTATTAGACTCAGCTGAATTCACTGGGGTAGGGTTTACCCTAGATTGCCCACCGTGTGCATTATTATTAGACTTCTTGTGAAAACTAACACAAGAAACAATCAGAATCCATTAAACAGGGAAAAGAGCACACCACTTTACAATGCTTTTTTAAGAAAATAAAATAAAATAAATCATATAACCCCAGGTCACATAAACAAACCCAGTTTTCAAAATCTACACCACGTCACACTGAAAACAACACAATTAAGTACTACATACAAAAACGTCAAAAAAAAGAAAAGAATAACCACTATAAATGAAAGCAAACAAATATTAAAAAAAAAACGAACACACACAAATATGCAAACCCTAACTCACCTCCGGCTAGAGGAGAGTGACGGTGAAGGCCCGGCGCCGCCGCCACCCTTAACGTACGCACCGCCGGAGGAACCTCGCTGCTGATTGAAGCTGGCGGATCGCCCAGATTTTCGGTACACACCGTCGCTCTTATCGGACTTTGATTGATTGAAGGACATATATCCCAGCCCTTAATTCCTCAAGAACAAAGTTTTAGAAACAAAAAGAGAGAAGAAGAAGGGAGGAAAAAAACCGATTTTTCTTCCTCAATTTTCCCTGCAACCAAACAAGCAGATCCAAAACATCATCATCACATGAAACCTCGTATGAACCTCAAACCCATTAATCAACACCGACCCATATGCCCAATTCCAACAAAGAATAATGGGTAGGAGGAAAAAATGGAGTAGGGTAAGAGAGTGAAGCACCTCAAGTGTGTTGCACTGTGTGTAAAATTAGGGTTTTTAATATTTGGTGGTTATTGCTTTGCAGTCGTGTGCCTGAGATGAACACAGCGATTGATTGAAGGGAAAAGAGAGAGAAAGAGAAGCCAAATAGGATGGAAATCAGGGAGACTTCGAAGGAGAGAGAGAGAGAGAGAGAGAGAATTTTTCAGTGAGAGAAAGCGTGGTAACAATAACAAAACATGAAAAAAAAAAATAGAATGAAGCTTTTGAGGGTCAAGATAAAAAGGGTAGGTTTTATTCGAGATCACTTCTTCAGCTATTGTTTCCTTTTGAAAGGTTTATTTTGGGATTGATGGAAAAGTGTAAGTGGATATTGGAAAATATCATGTTTGGTTCAGGTTTTTTCAAAAAATATCAGGCAAATAGGACAGATGAGAAAATGACTTTTGTGTTGATTTTTGGATGAAATTCACTGTTACAGAATACCACTTGAGATGTGGTATTTTGAGATAAGTGGGAAAGTGAAAAAATAGGTGCAAAGTTTCTCCCGAATATAGATTTTGCATATTTAAATAAATTTTCCTGTTAATATTTGGGTCAACCAAATAACTTTTTTTACATTTTTCTACCAAACTTACTTTCCAACCATTTCCATATCAATTACGTTTCCCTAATAAAAATAATTTCTAGAGGAACCAAAGACTACCTCAATACCTATTACCTAGCGCTTTTTATGAGATACCCTCTCCTCTCTCTATCTCACTCTCTTTCTCGTTTAAATTTCATTAATTCATCAAAATATTTGTTTTATTATATGCTCTAATTATCTCTTTGCGCAAGAACTTTTTTTTTTATTCCATGATTTTAATTATCTAAGTTTTCGAAATATAAATACAGACTAATTTCAAATCGAGTAACATGATAATTATTGGTTTTAAAGATTCTCACTATACTTTTTTTTTTTCTTTTTAACACAATAGTCTTTTCAGTAAAATTATAGTATGATTCTAAATAATGAATCTTACCCGTAATATTAGGTGTAATCTAATAAGATCTTTCTAACTTAATAAAATAGTCTCAATGCCAAAAATTTTAATATACTTAATAAAAACCATTTAATTCTATTGTAAAAAATCCATGTGTAGTGTCGTACTTATAACCAAATTAGGTATCGTGTTAGGTAATTTTAAAATTAAATCAAATGTACAAATAAAAATTAAATTTTAAAAATTGTTTTAAATAAAAAAAATAATGATATATAATTTAAATAGAATTTTAAGAATATGAATTAAACAATTATATTTAGAAATATACACAATTAATTAAAAAAATATGTATTTAAATTATTAATTTTTTTAAAAAAAATCAAATTATAGAAATCATTCTTTAAAGTTTAAAAGCAATAAATTAAGAGATTTTCACAATCAAGAAAATATACTTTTATTTAATATATAAAAGTAGAAGGGTAACGTTATTATTTTAAAAATGATTAAATTATTAAAAAAAACTATTTCTGTTGCTTATGTGTCTTTGTTTGGATTTTGCCAAAATAGTGGCTTATATGTTGTGCGTGCGTGGCGTTTCGCCGCATGTTGTGTTTCCCCTACTTGCTTAATGCTTACTCCATCCATGGTTCTTGGTGTTTAATTGCCACGTAACAATGCACGCGCACTATTCACGCGCCGCCACGATGGAGATTGATTTTTTACTTAGAAAGTTACCTAAAAAAGTGTTTACTTTTTAAGGTAAAAAAGGAGAGAATTTTTTGAAGAGATATGCTTCTTCCTTCGTCTAAAAGAAAACACAAAAAGCAAAATAATGTTTTTTACCTTATATATGTTTATTTAAAATATGGATGAATCTAATTTTTTTGGTAAGTAAGAACAAAATTTAATGTTAACTAACAAATTAAAATGTGAACTTAACTTTATTGTAACGTGAGTAAAAGCAAAAAAAAAAAAAAAAAAGTGTATAATCAGCTTATTCCCTAATTTGTGAGTTGATATTATAATTAAATTCCACCAATAATTAAATTCTTCACCCTAAACCCATTTGAGGACATTGTTGAGTTATATTTAATTTTGATTCATTTAGTAAGTGCTTTTATTATACCCTTATAAAAATGGAAAATATGAAAAATTGATCCTCCATAAAACATGCTAATTCATTTTATTAATGTAACACTCCATTATTGGACTAGTATGTTATTATCACGTATGATAATCACAACAGTTATAATCACAGCAGTTAATTAAAATATGATAAAAAAATTCTTTTTAACAACGTTTACCTGTAAAAATGCCTGTATTTAGCAAAACTCCAAATTGTGATTATAACTCAAAAACAATTGTGGAATCATAAATTCTATTATTTAACATCATACAACATATATCAAGGGTTGTTAAGTGGTTCGCATAAACCAACAAAGCTTAATTACACAATTTTATAATTTCCATATTAGATTTACCCTCGATTTTTGTCAGGCAGGGCCAAGGAAAGCCTGTGGCGAGGGATCACCATCAATAAGCTAAGTTGATCAAATACACCAAGTGGGTTCGATATAACATCTCAACCCAAAATCTTAAGGCATCGGGTTCATGGATCCTTCCACTTATATCACCTTCACTTAGCTCATTATTAACCAATGTGGGACTCATCACACTCGAATACCCAACAATCTTCCCCTCAAGTGTGAAACTTAACAGTGGGATGCTCCCCCTTAATCCAGTACTCAAGCACAAAGTACTTAACCTGCCTTCTAGCCAAACACCTGGCTAGTCCAAGCCCAACCCAACTCTGATACCACTTTCAGACAGGTTAAGGGGGAGCCCATGGCGGGGGTCCACCACCAATGGGCAAAGCTACTCCAACCATAGCAAGTGGATCCAACACCATGTCAAATCCCAAAGCATTAAGATTTTGGGTTGAGATATAGTGTCGGACCCACTTGATATGGCTGGTTTAGCTTAGCCCATTGGTGGTGGTCCCCTGCCACAGGCTTTCCCTGAACCCGCCTGACAGTGGTATCAGAGCCGGATTGGACTCGAGCAAGCCTGGTGATTGGCTAGGAGGTGGGTTGAGTACTTTGGCCCTGGGGGACTCGGTTGAGGGGGAGCATACCAATGGTGAATTTTACACTTAAGGGGAAGATTATTGAGATATTCGAGTGTGATGAGTCTCACATTAGTGGTAATGGGCTAAATGAAATATATATAAGTGGAGGGACCCATGAACCTAATGCCTTAAAGTTTTGGATTGTGACATGGTGTCAGACCCACTTGCTATGGTTGTAGTAGCTTAGCCCATTGGTGGTAGTCCCCCGCCATAGGTTTCCCTAGATTCGTCTAACAATTTTTTCAAAACTGGGAACGGACAACATGTCCATAAAATCCTATATTTTAGTATGTTAAACTATACTCTCTAAGCTTTCCAAAGAGATATCATAAGCCTAATTTGGAGTTATATAACTTCAAATATGCTCATTGTAAGTTATTTACTCAAAACTGTCAACAGAAAGCAAACAGGGCATCCGAGTTTCCTCACTATTTTCGCGATTGCTCTAAAATTTTAATAAGTTCTAGTAGAAACCTAGACATTTAATTTGACATATCATAAGCCTGATTTGGGTAAGAAATGAAAGATATTGAATTTCAAAGTTTGAAAACTGAGGCTGTAGTTTAATTCGTGAAACAGGGCGATCATCAATTATTAGAAAACTGGACATGATCTATAACACACAATGATCTCATATTTTAGGACAGTGTAAGGGACATCTTAAGCTTTAGAATGAGAGCTCACACGCTTAATTTGACCAATAATTGAGGGAGATATGAGTCTCCAAAGTTAGGCAAAATCACTACATTTTCTATAATTATTGGCAGCACCTCTTTTGTTTTTACAACTAATTTTCTTTCTTCGATTTTGCACCTAATTCACATGGAATGGCATCCAAAGGCCCAACAAACTTTGATGCACTTACATCCTTCATTACAAGTCATGTTATGATCATATCTTAAGACACAAGTCATTATCCACAAGTTACTTATCATCTTTCATTAATTCATTTCATATAATTTTCATCACATACATTCCCCAATTTAGCATCCATAATCAACATAAAACATCAAGCTACTAAATAGGCCTAAGCCCTTCCATCGTTCATACATCAATATTACATAACCAAATCTCAATGGAGCAATTAGAATTACATCAACTATACAAAATATAACTATTACATCGCGTTTACAATCTTATACAAATACTAGAATTCATACTCAATTGAACTTAGCAAAAATAATGCATGAACAAAACCCAAGGCATGGTATACATCATTACATGTACATAATTAATTTCATGCACTAAGTCCAATCTCCAAAATAAACAACCCAAATATGCATCATATACTCCAAAGTCATCAAGGCATTATGCACTCCAAAATATCCAAGTCCAAAACCCTAAGTGGGCTTCTTACCCAAGTCTCCACCAACATCCTCAACTGTACTTGAAATATTGTCCACTAAACATGGGATGAGATTTGACAATCTCAGTAAACCAAGAGTCCTAAAGGGTCACTACACCCAATGGTTCACTCAATATGCATATATAATAATCAAACAATGATATTTCATTCAATTATCCATCCAAGGAAATCCAATGGCATCTAAGCATCTAAGCCCCTGCCCGCTCATTTGGGAGCGAGACCCAGTTGTCTTCCTGCTGACCCCGCCAACAAAGACCTTCATTAGCATGCGAAGTATGAGTCATACCCAACAATCTTTACATGAATTGAGCTCAATCACCGCAAAGCTTCCCTTGCAATGTCAACCATTGTATGACAATGGTGGAAAAACTCTGTGTAGAACTTCACATAGGCATACATTCTCATCCATATATACCTCAAACATCAAGTTTATATCAATTCCATGATTGTGATGTAAAAATAACCTTTAATTATAATAAAACAAAAAAAATCACATCAAGAGGGATCAAGTAAATGGCTTTATTTACTAGAGTAAATCATGTGTCCAGCTAAACAAATTTGCAGAGCCCGTGGATAAACCATTTTTCTTCACTTCTGTTCCAACAACTTCTAATATACCTCTATAGCTTACACAAATTTTTCTAGAGCATACGAAAAAAGGATTTTGTACTTTGATTCATGGGCTCTATCAACACTCACATGCAAGTATTTATCAACAGGAGAAGCACACATACATTCATTATCCTATTGAATAAACACACCAATTCAACATTGTAATTCAGAGCGACATACACTCACGATTCATGGACAAATTTTAAATGGGCAGAAAGTTTCTTAATCTTACTCTAGTAGTAGTTATTCCAAGATAAGATTTTTCCTACAATTTCGTGCTCCTCTCCTACATGCAGAAACACTCTTGGTCAAATTGGCCTTTGTTTTCACTCCTTAGCTCTAAACGAATTTTACACCCACTGTTCAAGTTCCAAGTTGTTTACTCAACCCAAAAATTAGCTTTAATTTTGCATGCAAACACTTTTTGGATAGGTCTAGAATTCTGTCCTAGCTCAAAAGAATTGCTAGACAAGCTAAAAATTAAAGGGAGTACGGCAGAATGATCACAGAAGGTGGCTATGATGTCTAAGGAAAGAGAGATATTCAGTGGAAATGGTGGAAACTTGATTTGGAATGATGGAGGAGGGAATTGCCGAAGGTGAAGTTTTGGAGAGAAAAGGGGAGGGGACTCATGTGAAAAAGGATTAAAAAAGGGTGAGTTTTTTCTGCAAAAAACTGCACATGATTTTTTTTATTTTTTTTCAGCAGACATAAAAAAAGTAGGATCCAAATAATCAGTATCCATCAGCTTATACTGGCTTTCTTGATTTTTCTATATGTTGCTATAAAAGATTTTTTTTTCCAGCAACAACAAAGCTATATTTCCCTTAAAAAAATAGGAAATAATTTAATTGGAGTTTAGGGTGAAAAGACGAAAATTCCCTTCTTGTTAAAGAAGGCTAATAGTTAGAAAAAACCCAAGTGTTTAGAAAAAAAATTAATTGTCCCGAAATTTCAAATTACGCCTTACTCAATTATATAAAATACATGAATTCTAATAAATGACATCCTTCTCTCATTTTTTTTCCCGGTCATTATAGTTAAAGTCCCCTTTGAAGGTGGGATTGAATTTGTACGTACAAGTTCCCCCATTACTTCAATAACATGTTTGAAACTGCATAACATCATTGAAAAATTTAACCATCTACAGTACAATACTCAAATACCCTTTATTTGCTTTAAAATCTTTAAAGTAGATAAGCTAAAGAGAAGTGGTCTTTTATTTTGCTTTAGTTTGTTGTAAAAAAAAAAATGGTGAATAAGCATTATTTGGAGTTTGTATAGTGAATGGAACATATTCCTTAGCCAGTGTTTGGTTGAAGGATTATTTTGGGATTGATGGGAAAGTGTAAGTGGATATTGGAGAATACCATGTTTGGTTCAGGTTTTTTCAAAAAAATACTAGGCAAATGGGATAGATGGGGAAATGACTTTTGTGTTGATTTTTGGATGAAATTCACTGTTACAGAATACCACTTGAGATGTGGTATTTTAAGATAACTGGGGAAGTGAAAAAACAGGTGCGAAATTTCTCCCGAACATAGATTTTGCAAATTTAAATAAATTTCCCTGGTAATATTTCGGTCAACCAAATAACTTTTTTTACATTTTCCTACCAAACTCATTTTTCAACCATTTCCCTAGTAATTACATTTCTATTTAAAAAATTTATCCTCGACCAAACACCCCATTAATTACTTCTGTAGATACTTGAAGGGAGAGAGAGACTCAAAAGGCTAACACTCAAAGCAATCATGGCATCTCCCCTTTGGAATCCACCGTACTTTTTTATTTTTATTTTTAAAACTTTTTCAGCTTTCATCTTTTCCTTTCCCTATAAATTTCGAGATGCTTCTCTTTTCCATAAATGTTTGCACATATATAACCTACTTCCTTCTGAACCTTTGGTTGTCCCAAAATTAGTTTCCTTCTGTTCATAAGCCAAGCACCAGGAAACCTGTGAGTATGTTTCTTTTACTTGTCATATTCATTTATCTTATTTAATATTCTTGCATGTCTTATTATTACTGTACAGTTTCAAATTGAAAATTTTCATTTTTACCCTTGATCAATGTTGAAGTTTGCTTAATTTAAGAGTGGAAATTACTGTACAATTTATTTTCTGTGGCTGGTGGAAAATTAACACTTGATTAATGTTAAACATGATCTAGCCCCGTATGTTTTTTTGAATTCGTTTGTGTTTCCTTGTACTTCATTCCATGGAATGTTAATCTTACCTTCTGCTTTTTGTCTTAAGTCTTTGCCCAATAAAATGGGAGCCATAATTTGTGGTATTGGTAAGCCAAGCAAGAAAAAGAGCTTGGATGGGAAGCTTGAAAGGAAAATAGCTGAATTGAAAAGACATAAATTTGGACAAAGCAGATTGAAATCAATTGATAGCATAGTTATACTGTTCCCTATGTTCAAGGAGAGATTGAAAACTTTAAGAGGAATGTTTGAACAGTATGGTAAGTTTCAAAGACAACCCAAACATTTTATTTTATTTTTTTTTTAATTTTGACAGAAAACTAACATACTTTATGTTGTATCTTTCACAGATGAGGACTCTACTGGATCTATAGAGCCCAGTGAACTAAAAAGGTTCTTAGAACATCTGCAACTTCATCTTCCAGAAAAGGACATTGAGGATCTTTTTCATTATTGTGATATTGATGGAAGCAAGGGCATACAGTTTAATGAATTTATAGCTCTTCTATGCCTCATCCATATCATACAAGAACCTCCATCCTCTGATAATGTATGCACAGAAATTTAATTTTATTCTTTCTTGATTTTGAAATTGGTATATTTGCTTAATCTGTGCTATCACTATATAATGACTATATTTTTGTCTCAGTTATTAAAGGAAGAGTTAGCACAGCTTGGAGAAGTTTTTAATTCCATAGTTGAAGCCTTTCTGTTTTTTGATAAAAATGGTGATGGTAAGCTTAACAAGAAGGACATGGTCAGGACAATGAATGAGACTAACCCTTGGGAAAGATCCCCAGCGCGCATCACTAAAGAACGATTTCGTATTATTTACTTCACTTCAAAGCTTCTTTTATACCATGCTTTGTTGTTTCATTCTTCTTTTCCCCTTCCTTATTTTTAAATTGTTACCTTTTATGATGCACTTGCTGGTTTTGTCTTCCTTGCAGAAGAAATGGATTGGGACAAGAATGGACAGGTCACATTCAGGGAGTTCCTCTTTGGTTTCATTAATTGGGTTGGGATTGATGTTGATGGATAGATGCATGAAAGGAAGTTATACCACAGAGAGGAATGCTTGAAGTTAGATTGTGTTGACTGTGTTTAACCTAGATTGTTCTCATTTCTTAAAATTGTATTGGAGGAATTTATACAATTTGCTTGTGGCATTGAAAATTAGAAAAACTGAAGTATGAATAGAATAGATTGTGTTGACTGTGTTTAACCTAGATTGTTCTCATTTCTTAAAATTGTATTGGAGGAATTTATACAATTTGCTTGTGGCATTGAAAATTAGAAAAACTGAAGTATGAATAGAAATATATAATTTGAGTCCTGCTTCAGCTGAAAGATACACTGATACATTAAGCTTCTGTTATGAACAACCTAGCATAGATAATATAATAAGCAGATAAAATAGATAAAGCATGGAGATACAAAGAAGAAAGTGCATTCTCTATTTTACAAAAAGTTCAGTTCCCATAAGGTTACTCCAATGTCTTCTGTAACCTCTTACTGTATTCCTAGAGCTTGGATTCTTTTAATCATTGACAAAGAACTAGCATTTCTTTGCCTCCATTCTTCCCTACTTTCCTTGTTTCTCTGGATAAGTAATTTGTCATTGCCATCAAGGATGCTTACTATTTGTCTCATGCTTGGTCTTAATTGTGGGTCACAACGGGTGCATGCAATTCCTAATCTTACCAATCTCATCAGCTCTTTGTTATTGTACTCTCCATTGAGTCTTATGTCTGCTAACTCTTTCAATGGTCTTTTTCTCATCTCAAATTCATGAACCTTCTTCACCAAAAGTACCTCTGGCTGCCGGAAGTCCACTGCCATCTGTCCACTGACAACTTCAAGCACCACCACACCAAAACTATAAACATCAGCCGCAGAGGTTGCTTCACCGGATTCCACATATTCCGGTGACATGTAACCGAAAATGCCGCGAACTGATTTGCTTGTGTCAGTGATTGTGTGATGACCCTGCTCATTCCTTGACAAAAATTCAGCTAGAGCAAAACAGCTGAGTCTTGGGTTCATATCTGGTTCAAGAATGACAGCTGAGGAGGTAATGTTTCTGTGAATCACTTGTTCCTCCCATTCCTCATGAAGATAGAGAACTGCAGAGGCAAGTGCTTTCACTATGTTGTATCTGTGATGCCATTGTAGGACAGAACACCCAATTTTACTATTGTTATGATGGAGGAGTTGTTGACTGAGAATTCTACTTGTTGAGTAATCGTAAACAACAAGCATCTCTCCTTGCTCAGTGCACCATCCACGAAGTTGCACCAAATTCCTATGGCGAAGCCTTCCTAGATTCCGGAGTTCATTGGAAAATCTATCACGCAATGCAGGGCAAGTCTTCATCCCCAAGCGTTTCACCAAAACATGGCAACTATCATCAAGGATGCCATGATAAGCAGTCCCAAAGTCTAGCTCTGCCACCCTTCTTGACTCTGAAAAGTTATCTGTAGCAGAAACAATCTCCTTGAATGATATTTCCCTTGGAGTTTCAACCACAGGAAATTGTGGCTGGTGATGCATGCTCTTTGAAGAGATGATTTCACTGTTTTTGTGTTCAGCAGTTACATACATAGTTTCCCCTATGGCTGTTACATAGTTGGATGAAGTATAGTTGGTGATTATGCTAGCATTCTCTGTGGCATAGCTAGTGCCACTTGTGCTGCTGGGACTAGTCTCAGATGGGGAAGACAAAGAGATGTATAAAGGGTGGGAGAGAAATGAAGGGAGTTTTGGAAGTTTGAAAGAAAGATCAGAAAGTGCTTCCACAATCCATTTCATGGTTGGCCTTAATTGTGGTTCATGGAGTGTACAAAGTAGGCCTATGTGAATGAGATGCTGCATCTCAGAAAGCTTGTAGGATCTATCCGGTAGCCGAGTATCGGCTGCCTCCAGAAGCTTCCCTTCATCAGAAAGCCTTCTGATCCAATCAAGCAGAATGATTTGATCATCTGGGTGTGTGAGATCTATTGCTCTCCTTCCAGATACCACCTCTAGCACAACTATCCCAAAGCTGAAAACATCAGATTTGGAGGTAGCGTTGCTTGGTTTCTGCAAGTTTTCAGGTGGAAGATACCCAATTGTACCACCAATTTTTGATGTATCTCCCAACCGGAAATAATCAATTCTGGTTGATGTTTTCCTATTCTTAAACTCAAGCTCATGTTCTAGCCACCTTGCCATGCCAAAGTCACCCAACCGAGCATTGTAATGGGAATCAAGCATCACATTGCTAGTTTTGACATCCCTGTGAATGATTTGAGTTTCTAATTGTTCATGGAGATAATACAATGCAGCTGCCAAACCTTTGACAATTGTCACTCTTTGTCCCCAATCAAGAGGCTCAGCCTTCAAGTTCTCCAGCCGGCGAAAGAGTATGCGGTCGAGGCTGAGGTTCGGCATGTAGTCATAAACAAGGTGTAACTGATCATCATGAACACACCAACCCCTCAACCTGACAAGGTTCTTGTGACGAAGATCTGCTACAGCTGTTAACTCTGCTGCAAAACTCTTCTCAAATTGTTTCCCTTTCTCTGCTAAGCAGCATTTCACAGCAACCACAGTTCCATCACTTGGTAAAACAGCCTTGTACACTTTGCCAAATCCTCCACTCCCAAGAACTTGATCTTCTCTGAAACCATTGGACCCTATGAAAAGCTCTGCATAGCTGAATATCCTTGGATTCTCCCTACCAATCTTGAGAGAAACTTGCACACCATCCATGTCATGAAACACATCAGAGTTCTTCTTTTCTTTCTGCACTCTATGTTGGCAAGTTCTCCAGCACCTTGACTCATATAACCTGCTCAAAGAACTGCGAAGCAATGCAAGAACTTGCACCCCACAAACTCTATGACACTGTTTGACCTTAATTTGTTTCTTTGCAGATTGAAAGGATTGTTGTGAACCCATTTCAGGTTGCTCCATTTCACCAGAATTTGATGGTAAAACAATACAGAGGCGATTGAGCTGCATGGCTATGGTTTTGGGGATTGCTTTGTGAGAAAGCAAGCAATTTGAACATGGATATGCAAATGGTATTAAAGAAGTTATTAATGAGGTTCTTTGGTATTTGATGATGACATTATTGTTATTTCTTCTTGTGGTGGTGGTGTTGTTTTTCAACGCGTTTAGTTTTGCATAGTGAATTGTGTGCAACTATCTGCCGAATTGGAACCTACCTCTAAGACGACGTCAATATTTCTTATATGCATTTTTCTCTTCTTTTTTTTTTGGGTTGAAATTCGTAAATTGTTTCTTGAACATCTAGAAAAATTCAATTAATGATTTCACACTTCGACATTAATATGAAACAATAAAGTAAGAGGCTTTTCGTGACAAAACGTGATAAGGAAAGAACAATAAAAGGGAAGATTAATCTACCTTTTTTTTTAGGTGGAAGACTAATCTACCTTTTAGCTGTATATAAATGGATGTCACTGTCTGTCATACGCTATGCACATATTTTGTATATATATTGTATTTTTGTAAACGGAGATAAGTTATCTCCATTGAGTTCAAAAGGACATAGTTTTGAAACAAAAATAAAGATGTTTTTGTAATTCTAATATATTATAGGGTTATATTAGTCTTTATCATTATAAAATTTTAATTTTATAATCTTAAAATGACGTCGTTTTGAGCTCGCTGGAGATAACTTTATTTCCTGTGACCGAAAAAATACTTTTCTCATATTCTTAACTTTCATTTGTTAAAAAAATAGGTCATAGCCAACAAAGGTGGGCACGGTTGACTAAGGGTTTGGTCCATACCCCTCAAGGGCGTGGGTTCAACTCTGCTGGCCGATGTGAGGACTTTGTTGGTAGGTGATATGTAATCCCTCCCAGAAATTCTTAAAGAGGTTGGGGGTCTGCCCTGACCCTAGTGGGATACCGATGTCTAACCTTACTTAAACTTTTTTGTATTAAAAAAAAAAATAGTTCATAAATTTTGAATTATATAGAAATCACTTAATTTCTAATTAAAATTATTTATAAATTTATATTTAATGTAAAATATTTTATGTTATCAGTCAATTATGAGCTTTTGTGTATTATATTTATATTATTATAAAGGAGATTTCCTACATTGATGTTCAATTTTGTTATAAAAACTATCATTATTGATAAAATTCTACAGTTACGATAGATAATTTATATTATTAAAAAAAAATTTAAAAAATTTAACTAATAAAATATAATTAAATGACGGTATAAAAATTTATTTTGTTAAATGAATTAAAAAGTAAACCCTTTTTGCATACAACAGCGTATACATTAAGTGACGTGCAAAAGCATTTTTATATAGATGGTATTGGGCTTCTTGGGCTTAAGGACAAAAGTGTTCTTCAAAACAGACAAAATTGCGCAACTATTAGGTTTGCTTTAGGTGAACTCCGCTAATCAATGTAAAACATTCCCAAAAGAATGGACCAAACCACACCAACCAACTTTTGAAAATCGGAGACATTGTTGCGTTAGAAAATCCACCCTTTATCACTTGCGTAATATTCTTTACCAAAATTGTTGCTGAAAAAATCTGGTTGTATGAAGATTACTTTAAGTTTTAAGTTTCAAGTTTCGGTGATGTGTGTGATTGGTTGGAGATTTTAATTGTATGGCTTGATTTTGTTGGAAATATTCAAGTGTAACAGTGATAAAGTTTCACATCGGTTAGATATAAACCAAGTTAAAATTATGGGAAATCATACTCTTATGCAATAGGAGAGCAACAAGTTTTCCTACACTAATTCGTTTTCCGTGCTAATTAATTATTTTTTTCTTTTCTAATATAAAATGTGGGACCCACATGTAATTTGTCTCTACTTTTGTTATCTCATGTTTTCATGCAACATAAGAAAACATGGACCCTAAAATTATATAAGTGTAAAAGATTTATAAATTTGTCTTGAGATTCTTTGGGATTGAAATGTGACATCACCTGTTGTGATTTTTCATTTTCTCCCATTATTAAATATACCCCTTGTGTACCAAAAAAAAATATATATATATATATACCCCTTGTAAAGGGAGTTAACAATGCACTTGAGTCACAAACTTTTTCTATATTTAAAAATTTCGAATTCCCCATCAAAGCAATAAATAAGAGAAGAGTTGGAATCCAATAACTTGTGGATGTAACCCACATACAAGTTTCCCATTGAAAACCAATAGAATGGGGGTTGGGGAGTGGGGAGCATTTGCAAGAAGTCAAATGTGATCATCTGATATTTTTTATTTTATTTTATTTTAAATATTGTTATTATTCTCTTACTGGTTGTTGGTTAGGATATGGGTGAGTTGAGTAACTAAACCTCCCTTATGATATCATAATTATAATCTTTAATGTTTGGATTGGTGTCAGTTGGGCTGCTTCACTATTATAATGTAGTATTTTGTCACAGAGTGACTGGATTTTGTGTCTAAAAATGCAATTTCAATTGGGTCCATTTGTGTGGACTTTCAAGACCTTCACTGTCATATGAAAGAAATAATGATTTTTAAAATAATTTTAATATAAATTCATTTTTATAAAAATAGAATGACTTAAAATAGAAAAGTTAATTTTTACTTTTAATTTTGGTTTACTAAAAATATAGAAGTTATTTTTATTTTGTTTTGTTTTGTTTTACTCAATAATCCGTTTTAACATGATTACATTTTTTTATAATTAAGCAGATTTTTCAAAAACAAAAAAGCAAAAAGATAAGGAATAGGATATTGTGACAACCAAATAATGTTACTACCAATGTTACTACCACATCTTAACTGTTGATTTCCGTCAATCAACGGTTATCATTCATTGCGAATTAATAATTAATTAATGAGTTTGATTTGAAAAATGATAACCGTTGTGTAACATCCCACGTAATTAGGAAATATATATATATATTGCTATGAGGATTATGGATATTCATGTTAAATTCGAGTTAGGTACAATACATGCTTGGTCTTCGAATTATATAGCTGTTAGAGAGGAATTAATATCGAGTAGAGAATTAATTTAATTACAATAATAGATGAGTACCTATTAGGCGTGTGGAACTTGTATTATAAATATATAAACCATTTAATTGTAATAGGTATTTAATGACTTATGAAAGATAAAGGACATGGAAACTTATAAACTAATGGGCTGGTCATAAAACAACAAAGGAATTGTAGAGTTTTGGACCCAAGTTCTAGGGTTGGCCCACGGCCCTAAGGGGTTTAGGGAGCAAATGAGGTTCAACCCAATCTTCTTATAATTGCCTTATCTTAGAATCTTCACAAGGTAGCCTTGGATTGGGTAGTGATTAACACATGGCAGCCTCATCTTATCATTCAGCCACTTGTGCGCCTAGGGTGTGTAAAATTCTGACCTTTGTTTGCTTTTGAGGACTTACAAGTCAGCCTCATTGCCTTCCAATGCAACTAATAAGGGGAGAGAAATCCAATTGCATGTCATTCTATTGGTCTTGCATCTTAACATGACAACCCTCTATCCCTTGAACCTAGTCATGCGCATAGTTTGAGTAATAAGAAATCTGACTCCTTGTTATGGACACAAGTTTAAACAACCTTTTATCAGCCATGCAACCATTAGGACCAAAAAGAATTCTGCACTTGTGTCTTTGTCTCAACAACCAAGATGTCCTATTCCTCCATTCTCCTTATTTAGGCGCTAGACTGTGAGATACATCAGCTGAAAATTTAACAACCCTTCTTCTTTAATTCCCCTAGCTGTGAGTTGTAGGTGTAGCAAGAGAAAAGAGAAAAATTGCATCTTCATTCTTCCAACCTCTTTGAGCGTACGCGACCTTGAGAGGAGACCAAGGAAAAACCACCAAAAATCGTATAACACTCTTATTCCCTCCTCCTTGAAACCGTGAACCTTGGTGAGCAACCACAATTGAAGAATTCCTTCCATTCCTCCTCTATCCAGCCGAGGTTCTCCACACAAGAAGGTATAGAAATTCCTCATCTCCATTGTTTTCATCTACCACGCTTAGTTGATGGAAACGTTCCCTTGTACATAGGATTTCGAGAAATTTCCTTTCTCCCTTGGTGCGCACAACCACGGTTTGGAGGGCTGAAGTTGTGGTGTCCGTGGAGCCTAGAAAGCGAAAGTATTGCTCTTTGTTCTGTTCGATTTTCCTTGTGTGCTGCAAGAGAGGTAAGCACAAATGTAGAACCTCTTCTTCATCTTATGTCCAGGTCGTGAAGCATGCCTAAGAAATAGCTTTCTTTTAGTTTATCCCTTTTTGATTCTGCCTTGTTACATCATTGGGGTTATAGTTTAAAAGCATAACTAGTAAATTTGGAAATGATCTTAAAATTAAATGGTGGGGCTGTTTGATGATGTCTTGGTATGTCTCTAAAGTTTTATGATACTATATGATATGGACAATATGTCTAGACCCCCCTTGTAGCGCACCATGAATGAAGTAGTTGAGTTTTGGAATAATCTATCTTTAATGTTTTGTTTAGGTAAAACTCATTCTGTTTTGAACTAGGCCCTTCTTAAATTAAAAATACAGCATGAGGTTAGACTTGTCTTTCCCTCACCTATGGTTTTGTTAAGCTAAGATTTCGAATAAACATCATGGGCCCTTGTATGATTAAACCGATTCTATTTTGGTGCAGCCTTATTGTGTACTAAACTCCATTTAAATTATATAGACAACATGATAATAAGCTCTCTTTTTGCGCACTTTATGAGTAGAGAAGTAGGAATATTATGAATAAAGTCTTGAGTAATTTTTATGCCAAAACCGATTCTGCCATGGTTGGGAACATTAGAAATCCTCGCTGTTTAACATTGGTAAAGCTTAAATTAAAGTCAGAATATTTTTGGAAAAATAGCCATGGTGGCCGAATGGGTACATGAACCCTTAAGCTTGGAAACTCGTTGGTAATGTATAAGGAATAGCTTAGAACGTATTCTGATTGGATTGCACTTGTATATATAGGTGCGCATATTTTGTGAGACTTTGGATCATTTTAGCTGCTGCCTGGTAAATTAATTGTGACGAGTGAGGTAAGTGTCTGGTGACATTACCTTCTGTGACT